TTCTAGACTCTGAATCAGATACTTATGTTACATCTTATAGAGATCTTATCATGACAAAATCTCAGAAGATGAAAGTGATGTTAAAAATAACAGATAAAATAATAATCTCTGCTACAGTTATAGAAGATACAAAGATTTCAATAAAAGAGATAAATATGATGTTAAATAATATCTGCTATGTTCTGAAATTAGAAGTGAATCTCATGAGTATGAATAAGCTTGTACATCAGAGTTATATCTATAAGTAGTTAATATATAAGAATAATTATACTATGTTAATTATATCTTCTAATTACATGTTCTTATTTATAGCAAGATTAAATGAGAATGATATCTATAAGATAAAAAGACTGATTACATACAGAGACTTAATCTGAACTTATGATAATATAATAATATTAAAAGCTAGAACATCTAAATTCTGTGAATATTATAAAAATGATAGTAGACTTATATCTAGAGATAAGAATTATTAATTAATGAGCTTTATCATTCTGCAAAGTCTGTATTCAGGTAAAAATAATATATTCAATCTTTATATCTATAATATAAGCTGTTAAGTCAGTAATGAGATTCTTCATCAATCTGACAGAGAGTGAAAAAACACTTTTCAATGAGAATGACATTCTTACTAGAGAGGATGCAAGTTATTAATTAAGTATAACAGATAATATAACCTGTTATATAACACTGAGTTGATGAATGATGAAAAAGTGAAAATATACTCATATCTATAAGTTGATAATAAGAGAGTAATTGATCTACTAAAGAAGGAATTCTTAATATAAAGATTATATTATATTGAGATTAGATATTATATTCTCTGTGATTTGATTGAAAAAGGAAAAATTATAATAAAACATATTGATTCTATAGTGAATATAGCTGATAAGCTTATCAAGTCACTAATGAAGCCTGCATTTGAAGATTTTATCAAAAGAGTTAGTATTCAGAAAATTGAGAAGAAGAAATAATTGAATAATAATAATGATACAGTGAATCAATGAATTTTGCATGTATTTCTTGATTTTTACAGTTATTGCTGTACAGACGCCTTTTCTAATGAGGAAATCAGAGTCCGATTGATGTAATTAATTATTATTGCATTTTTGAAAGATTTGAGAATGAGAAAGGCCCCGGGTGATGGCTTATAAACCACGGTGTAGCAAGGAAGAGTGTTGATGATTACTATTATACAGAAAAAACATAGAGTTAATTTACAGTGATTATACTATGAATTCATCATTTCATCTGTGTCACATGTCACTGATTGTAACACATGTTTCATCATTATATTCAGTAACATATCACTGAATATTAAATGTTAAGATAGTGTTGAGACAGTGCAGAACTTTCTAACACTATTATAATACTACTCAGTAACTGTGTAATTAATAGATACTATTATCAGAATACTACTAAGATATTACAAGACACTGTATACTGTTCTGTCAGTGAAATCAATATACTATTAAGCTAGTTATCTGTTACTCAGCTGCTATTTATCAACTATTTATTTAAAGAAATAAGACATCTCAATTGTAATATAAATATCTTATTATCTAAGACTTATATATTAAATAATCATCATTTTTATCATTATTCTGTATTAAAATATTATACAATGCTGTCTTTCAAACTGTTAGCAGTCTAATAATAGTGTAATTATCAAAATTCTCTTATAAAATCAGCAGATTCAGTAGGTGATTATACATGATATAATAAAGAGAAATAAGTTTAAAGAAAATTCACTTAACTTCTTTCATTTCATGAATAAATATGATTGTAATTCAGTCAAGCTCTGCTCTCTAATATTGAATAATATTCTCTTTCATAAGAGAGATTCAGTAAATGTGATCTCTGATTTATATATTAACAAGTCAATAACTGATTGATTAATTGATTAATTAATTGAATAGACATATTAAACTGAGAATATCAACTTATTATAGAAAAGTATTGAATGATAACCTAGTTTCAAAACTGAGAGCTTATTTCAATCAGTGTCATAGAATTCTTATAGCTTATTGAGAAATGAATGAAGTAATTCAAGCTTGAAGAGATTTGTAAATTATATACTGACTTTCTCTGACATCTTACTTAATGATAGATGATTAAAAATCTTCAGAGGAATATAATCTTTTATTGACTTTAACTTGATAGAGTAGTTCAGTAAATCATCATTTTATCTTCAGTTTCTTCATGTATTCTCAGCAGATTATTGAATAGTGTAACCAACTGTATATAAATCTTGAATCTTCTGTATCAGATGTATATCAGAGCTGTCAAGAATCTCTTA